AATGCCTGGTGTTCCCCGCGTGCCTGCTGTGCATGAACGTTCTGATGATGAGTTCGGTGTCTTGAAGTTTGGTGTGTCTACTCATGATGTACCTCGCATGCCCGCTGCACTTGAGAGTCCTGATATAGTGGTCGGCGTTCAGGAGTGTGATACATCTGTCTGTGCTCCACCAAGTGTGCGTGGAAAGGTTGTCGTAGCCCGTCTCACCCGCCGTCCCACGGTTGAGAAAGCTTTCTTGTGCCAACCCTCCATGCCGAATCCGATTGGTAGCGAACNTGTCCCTGCTCCACCAAGTGTGCCTGGAAAGGTAGTCATAGCCCGTCTCACCCGCCGTCCCACGGTTGAGAAAGCTTTCTTGTGCCAACCCTCCATGCCGAATCCGATTGGTAGCGAACAATGGCAGGCCGATTCTGGAGCCAGTGCGATGATTACTAACAAAGTGGATGCAATGTACAATCTACGCCACTTGGGCCCGGATGAACGATCTATTCAGATTGGAGACTCGGCTCTCATCAAGGTTGCCGCTGTAGGGAGTTTGAACCTTAGGTTCCACCAAATCGGAGCCGACGGGAAACAGGAGGATTTGGACGTTACGGTGCCAGAGGTTTTGTTTGTGCCCGGGTGTGGTTTCAACCTTTTCTCGGTATGAAAGGTGTCTCACAAGCATGAGATCCGCATCAACCCCAATGGTACACAAATGATGCACGGAAAACTGCGTTTCATTCGTGGCGCTTCGAGCGATTCCCTTTTTGCAACCCGCCTTCCCCACAAATCCCTGCCCTCTATGGACGCTGCGCGTGAGAGTCCCCGTGAGAGTGCGTTTTCGTCCGTGGCATCGGCTCTTACAGCCGCGATGGATTCCGACTTTGAACCCCCCCGTGTGACGGATGCTGTAGCGGAGTACTCGGCAAAGATGATTGATGTGTGGGAGAGTGATGAGTGTGAGCGCGCTATGTCTGTGTTGGGTCCTGGATATTAACACGTTCCACTACCGTGCCGGCCACTTGTCCGAACCCTTTTTGAGGCTGTCCGCCAAGCAGCACGGGATTACCCTCACAGGCACGATGGACAGCTGCCGCTGGTGCTTGCCGGCGCGTGGGACGAGGGCGCCGGTGCCGAAGGAGGGGGGCGGGTACCGCGGCAACCACTACATGCTCTTCGTTGTGGACGCAGTCACGGGATGGATGGCCTGCTACGCCATGCGGCGTAGGTCGGAGGCGCTGAGGGTCGTCAAGCGCATGGTCGTGGATGCCGCCCACAAGGCTGGTACCGCGATCAAGTGCATCCGCTGCGACTGCGATGCCCTCTGGACCAGCGGCGACTTCAAGGAGTTCTGTGCCAGCATGGGGATCGCGCTCGAGTACTCCCCTCCCGGAGTGCAGCAGTACAACGGCGTCGTCGAGAGCGCCATCCAGAGGTGCCTCAAGGTGGCCAAGGCATCCCGCCGGGCCGCCCAGGAGCTGCTTGGCCCCGCAGGATTTTCTCGTGTCCGCGGGCTGAGTGTTCGTGGCGATGAGCTCTGGGCGGAGTCCGCAAAAGACGCCGCGCAGAGGCTGAACCAGTCAGCATCTCCTTCCAACCCCGGAGGTGCGTCGCCGCAGGAACTCTACACCGGCAAAGGAGGCCCTTTCCGCTTGATCCCGTTCTTCCAGTACGGTTTCATGTGGGAGCGGCCCGCGACGAAAATGGACGACAGGGCCGTGCCGTGTTTATTCCTCAACGCCGGGGACAACCACGCCGACGTCACGGTTAACGTGCTCAAAGAGAGGACCGCCCACGTGTGCTACACATTCGATGTGGCGTGGGCGACGCTCCCGCCGTCGGGGGGGGGGGGGGGGGGGGGGAGAGCTA